GCACCTCCGTTTGCTGCCAGCCAAAAAGAAAAAACGAACTCCCTCATTTAAAGCAAGAATCGCGATTTGGGTTGCAGCAGCAGCAGCAGCAGCACCAGCAACGGCAGCAGCAGCAGCAGCACCACGCAGCAGCATGCTCCGGCAGGCGAAGCAAGAGATAGCCGCCTGCAGCCGCAGGGAAGAGTGACGAGGGACCTGCAGCTTCGAGGTCCCCTTAGGGTTTAGGGTTTAGGGTTTAGGGTTTAGAGCAAGTGCAGCAGCAGCACTGCAACACAGGACACTCCCTGCTGTCTAGTTCTGCAAAACTGTCTGCAGCTGCTTCTCTTCAAATCAAATAAAACCATTTACGGGTTTGGCTCCCTTGGGGGCCCCTCTGGGGCCCCTTTGGGGCCTCTTTGGGGCCCCTCTGGGGGCCCCTTTGGGGCCCCTCTGGGGGGCCCCTCTGGGGGGCCCCTCTGGGGGGCCCCTCTGGGGGGCCCCACTGGGGGGCCCCACTGGGGGGCCCCTGGGGACCCTTGGGGGGCCCCCAAGAGCATCTCTGGCGTCCCCCATGGGGGCCCCCTACGGGCCCCTTTGGGGGGCCCCTCTGGGGGCCCTTTAAGGGCCTCTTTAGGGGGCCCCCTGGGGGCCCCCAAAAGGGCACAGTGGGAGGCCCTAGAGGTCTCCCAGAGCACCTCGAAGAGCTGCTGCCTTTCCCACCTAAACCCTAAACCCTAAACCCTAAACCCTTGAATAAGGGCGGCAGGGAGGTTTGGAGGTATTTTCAGGGTTTAGGGTTTCGTGAGGGTTTGGGTTTGCTGAACCCTTCGGGCTCTGGGGGCCCCTGCTCGGGGGGGGGCCCCCCATTATAGGGGGCCCCCATGGCCCTCTTGAGGGCCCCCAAACCCTGGGGCCCCAAGGAGGCCCCCAAAGCCTCATAAACCCTTCTGCTAACATCTGCATCTGCTGCAGCATACAGCAGCTGCTGCTGCGACAGGGGGCCCCCCCAGTTGCTGGTTTGCTGCTCTTTGTTTAGCTGTTCCTTCAGCAGCAGGGCACAGAGGGCCCTCAGGGAGAGTCCGGGGGCCCCCAGGGGGGCCCCCAGGGGCCCCCGGGGGCCCCCGGGGGCCCC